GTCCATCGTGGGCAGTCGATCATAGTGTGCTTGGAAGATTGTTCCGAGCCACATTGGCAGGGTTCGGGTTCCGTGAACACTGCGTGTCTGTCTATCCTGGTGGCTTGACATCGTATGCGGTGTATAACTTTTGCTTTGGATCGTAGAAGTTTTGCTCGCTTTGGATGGATTTTTAGCGTTCCTGGTTCGTGGTAGTTGATGCATGGGATGGAGTTCCATTCTTCCAGCATTCATTTGCTGAGGGTGTCGTTTTGGATCCATCGTTTTCTGCGGTTGCCTGGTTCTTGGAAGGGTAGCATGAGTGATGCAATCCGATGTAGGCCTGTACGTTTGGTATTTTTTATTCTGGTAGGGAGGAGCTGTATGAGTTCTTCGTTGAGTGGGTGGTCTGCGGGGTGGCAGAGGATGCGCGTTCCGTATTTTCGTAATTTATGGTTGAGGAGGAGTTCAAGTGGGGGGAGTGCTGCCTCTTTTATTAGTTTTTCGGTTTTTGTCCAGCGGGGTAGGCCTCTTATTATCCTGGCGGCTTCATTGTAGAGCGGGGATAGTGATCGGAGGATGTGGTCGGCTCCCGTCCACCAAGCCGCCGATCCCCATAGGATAGTGGGGAGAAAACCTTGGACAGTGAGGTGGTGAATGGATTTTACTGTTGATCCGGGGAGGTAGGCGATGTTTCTGATGCTGCCTAGGGCTTTGAGGCCTTTGGCAATGGTTTCTTCGATGTCTGGTCGAAAGGAGAGGTTGGAGTCCAGCCAGACTCCTACGTATTTGAGTCTATCTTTAGGATTGATTTCTTCTTCTGCAATTGTTACCGAGTTCTTGGGGTTCGGGGCGCTCGATGTTGTGGGTTTGAAAAAGACTAGGTCGGATTTTTGGGGTTCGTATTTGATGTTAAGGGGTGCCGCTTTCCTGACTCTTTCATTCATTCTTTCGTTGAGTCTTTTGGTAATAAAGAGAGGAGACTTTGCTAGTTGGACGAGGGCATCGTCGTCGATGTAAGAGGTGTTTATTTCTTTGGGGGAGTTGATGGGGTCTGTTATTACCCCGGCGTAGCTCATGAATAATACCGGGTATAGGGGTGACCCTTGGGGCAGCCCGGAGGTGTATGGTTGTGGTGGTTCCAGTTCGTGGTTGAATTGGAATTGGAGTTTTCGGTTGGTGTTGAATTCCTTACACCATGTCGTTAGGTATGTTGGGAATCTTTGTTGGGTCATGATTTCGGCGAGTAGGAGGTGGTCGACACAGTTGAAGGCTCCTTGTATGTCGTTTGTAAGGAGCGCTGGTCTGTCTGTGGTGGTTCCTGTGGTCCTTCTGATCAGGAGATTTTGTTGGATGGGCGTGAGGGTACTGTAACGGGGGTCTATGGACGTAGGGACTATGATGCCAAGGAATACAACCGAGGCGAAGACGTAGCAATAGGTATTCGAGACAGTGGACTATGGAGTGGCTTGCCTAGTATGACTAACTAGTTAAGGCCTATGACGAGGTGTAGAACAAAGTAGTATTCGTGGAATAAGTACAAGAAGTTCCGTGAAGAAAAAAGGGAAGGAAGGAAAACATGAAAAGGCACGAGACAACACCCCTTTATATATCCAGGCTCTAGTCCATTGATGACTCATACCTCACGTAACGGAAACCCAAAGAACATAACAGAAACCCCATTACAAATCCTAATACAACTGCGCAATACCTTTCCTCCACAATCCAATCGATCATCCTAACTAACAGATAATATTGCCGTTACAGATTACGCCCCCCTCTAATGCCTATCTCCTGGTAGGCTTAGGTTTCCGTGGATAACGTTCATGGAATTGTCGAACGATATCGGGCGAATGTTTAAGGTCCGATAACGGCTGCCACGAGGCATCGTCATATCCTGTTTACCGTACCAGGTACTCAAACTTTCCCTTGCGTTTCCTAGAATCCAAAATGTCTTCGACTTCCCATTCTTCCCCCCCTTCGATCTCAACTGGGGGTGGTGGTGATAGTTGTTGTCCCGGTAATGGGTTGCCTGCTTCGGGTGACAATAATGAAACATGGAATACTGGGTGGATCTTCATAGAACGGGGAAGTTCTAGTTCATAAGCATAGGGATTGACGATTCGTTTGATGCTATAAGGACCAATCCGTTTCCAATCGAACTTCTTGGAGGGTCGCTTTATTAGAACATTGCGTGTCGATAAGAAAACTTTATCTCCTATACAATAGCGAGGAGCAGGAGAACGATTGAGATTAGTTGATTCCTCTTGTATCCTTTGTGACCGAAACATTTCGCTTTTCAGAATTTCCACCATATCCTTCATTTCTTTTGCGATGCTATTGGCCTGATCTTCCGCTGTTGTTTTGCCATTTTCCAAGGGGCCAAAAGTCATCCGTGGATTCCTTCCCGAATTGGCATAGAAAGGAGAAACCTTGGTTGTTTCCGACACATGATTGTTTGCTGCAAACTCCGCCATTGCCAATAATCGGGTCCAATCATCTTGTTGATAAGAAACATAACTTCGAAGATACTGTTCCATTACGGCATTGATCCTTTCAGTTTGTCCATCGGTTTGAGGGTGAAATGCAGTGGAGAATCGTGAAGATATTTCCAGGCGTTTGCAAAGTGACTTCCAAAATTCCGCGACAAATTGCGTTCCTCTATCGGACACAACCGTATCAGGTAATCCATGTAATTTCCAAACGTTATCGATATATAGCCTTGCTACTTACTTTGAATCCACCTCTTTAGTTGTTGGTATTAGGTGTCGCATTTTGGTTAGTCTATCAACAACAACTAGAACCACATTGTAACCCTCACTCTCCGGAAGGTCGGTAACAAAATCCATCGAGACATCCGTCCATGGTCCATCGGGTATTGGCATGGGGCGAAGTACTCCATAGGGTTCATTGCGTGGTGCCTTGCTACGGGTGCACACATTACAATTCCTGACATATCGATCGACATGCTTTCGCATTTGTGGCCAATAATATTCCCGACTTAAGAGTTCCAATGTCTTTGCTCTACCTGGGTGGCCTGCTGATGCTTTATCGTGATGTTCTTTTAGGAGCCTCAGTCGGAGGTCACTGTCATTTGGTACGTAGAGTGCACCTCGATAAAGTAACCGACCGTTGTTGTCTTCCATACATTCGGCAAGTGAAATTTTGTTTGAATGTCGAACGTCGCTCCGGAGCATAACAAGAATCTTGTTTGGAAAACTATCAACTTGGTAAGCTTTTGAAAATAACTCCTCCACAGTAGACATTCCTTCAGCGGATTCATTTGATAAAGAACCCGCGAACAAACTTAGCTTTGTATGCAAATTTTTTCGCTTCAGAACCACTTGGCTCTGATGCGTCAACCTTTCATCCCCCTCTTTAGGTAGGTCACCTGACCTTCTAGTTAATGCATCGGGTTTTGCTCCTTGTTTTCCCGGTCGAAATTGTATAATGAAATCAAAACGTGAAAGAAATTCAGACCAACGGGCTTGTCGACGATTTAATAATTTTGTCGTCATGAAATATTCCAGGTTTCGATGATCGCTGAAAACCTCAATGGGGAATTGTGCTCCTTCTAGATGATGTCGCCATTCTTCAAAGCATCGAACAATCGCTAGAAGTTCTTTGTCATAGATTTCATAGTTACATTCCGCAGGGGAATGTTTCTTGGAAAAGAAAGCGACTGGATGTAAAACTCCTTCATCATCGCGTTGTGAAAGGATTCCTGCTGAAACATAATCAGATGCATCGGTTTCCACCACAATCTTGCGATCCGGGTCGAAATGAACTAGTATAGGTGCTGTTGTGAACATCTTTTTTAAGGTTTGAAATGCTTCCTCCCTTTCATCCGTCCATTCGAATTTAACATTTTTCTTTGTTAGGGCTGTAAGTGGGGCAACAATCTTTGAATATCCTAAGATGAACCGTCGATAAAAGTTTGCAAATCCCAAAAATACTTGCACATCATGGAGATTCATCGGTGTGGACCATTCTAAAACATCAATAACTTTCTTCGGATCCATTCGATTACCATTCGGAGTGAGGATCAGGCCCAGGTATTTTGTTTCTTGAACCATGAATTCGCATTTTTCGGGTTTGAGATGAACATGATTTTCATCAAGTACTTTTAGAACTTTTCGAATATGATCCTTATGTTCTTTAAGAGACTCGGAATAGATAAGGATATCATTCAAATAAGCTGTCAAGAATTGATCCAAATAGGGACGTAGGATATCATTGATCCAATGTTGGAACGTAGCAGGAGCATTCGCTAATCCAAAGGGCATCACCGTATATTCGAAATGTCCGTACCGAGTCCGGAATGCCGTTTTCCATTGATCTCCTTCCGCTATTCTGATTTGATTATACCCCCAACGTAAATCTAACTTAGTGTAGTATTTTGCTCTTGACAATTTGGCCAAAGTTTCCTTCAATAACAGTAATGGATAACGATTCTTAATCGTAATTGCATTGAGGCCCCGATAGTCGACACATAAACGAAGAGTTCCATCGGCTTTCTTGACGAATAGGATAGGTGTCCCCGCTGGTGATTCACTATGACGGATAATCCCCTTAGGTAGGTTCTCTTGAAGGTAGTCCCAAAGTCCCTTCAACTCCGTTTGGGATAAAGCATATATTGGTCCCCATGGTGGTTGTTTGCCTTCTTCTAATACTATCTTCATATCATGGAACGGTCGATGTGGTGGAAGCACTGAAGCATCATATTCTTCAAACATATGGATATAGCGGTGGAACTCCTTCGGTATTAGTTTGTTAATATCGATAGTAAGTTTCTCGGTCGCTGAGACGGTGACGGTATGAGTCTCCGGTAGGGGGATTGATATACCATGAACCGTAATTGTAGTTCCACTAAGCGAGCAATGTTGACGGCAGCCCTGAGAGTCGAAGATAAGCAAATTTTCTTTTGGTCGAATCGTAACATCATGGCGTCGCATCCAAGCTATCCCCATCACAATCGGATAGTGTCCCAACTTTGTCACAAACATGACGCAGTCTCTATCATGACCTACTGCTCCAAGCCATGTCAAAAGGCTGACTGGTCAGTCCACAAGATCCTCTGCCCCACCTACTTGAACTTCCAGACCCGTCCGACCCCCGATCACTTCCTCGGCATCCTCTTCCCCGAGAAGTCCACCACCCCACGTTTTCTCTGGGTTGCCTGCCCACTCGAATACGACGAAGATGATGACTCTCACTGGCGGTTACCGAAGTGCCCAGAGGTCAAGTTCTTCGTCGGACGATCAATGAGTCTCCCGGCTAATGGGCTCAGGAAGCGGTGGAGGGGTGACAAGCTAGAGATATACTATAACGATGATTTCATGATCGACGGATCTGAGGTCAATGAATGTGTTATAGCTGTTACGGGTGGGAAAGCGTATCACCCGTGGGGTGACTCGATACTAGTGATGAGGCATGTAGGGTTGAGCATGAATCCGGAAGCTTTTGAGGATGTGCAGATGGTGGATTTCAGGGATGCGGTAGATTATTTGACGACATATGGGGATAGGGCAATACACGATAATATGAAGGGGCTTCCGAGGCCAGCGTGGACATACCTGCAATGAGTTGTATACTTGAGCGGAGGAGATGCGTCCGGTCGGGGAGTGTTATTACTATTTCTCTGTTATGACTTTTTATGGATTTTGTTATTGCGATCCGGTATGGGTCAGCCAGTACGAATGTCCGCCTACCCGAACATACGACATGTTATACCACTTCTATGAGTATGATTACGTTAGTATATGCATATGTATCCGCGATGCGGGCTCTTTGATATTAAGTATCCAAAGTGACGCATTGTCAGAAGATTTCTAGATTCCGGTGCCCGCCCGCGGCCGGTCATGGGCAGAATGATTTTTTGTTTTATTTGTTAATTCATTGAGAAGCAAGAAACTACATATTCATCTCCTACCAATACTTCGTACGAGAAAGAAGTTTATTCATGATGGTATCAGTCACCGTGCACCCTACTCCGGTCAATAGACTATCATTCAAATCCATACCTCTGCACCCTGAATCTTTGAGAATAAAGTATTTACAGTCAGTTTTAAATAGTATATCGCAAACATGCTAGTTTCGAAGCGATTCAAGGAGATTTATATATAAGTTGGACTATAGTAATGCTAGATTAAAATAAATACAGGTCATAATACACGGCTAGATTTCCCCGAATTAGTGTTAGTATGATTGCAGCACTAGTGCGGTATTCTTGCGGCGTTCTTTTGTATCCAGTAGTGTTATAGTTTAGCTTATGTATTCACGGGAATTCGCATTCAAAATGAATGCGGATTCGCTTCAAGAGCATGGCACTACTATAGGGCATATGATACTACTGTGATGTAAATAATATTTTCATTTTTATGGGTACTATTTTGACTTCGGCAAAACTAAGGTACTGCATTACAAGCAGCAGTGCTAAGGTCTTCAAAACAGCCCGACTTTTGGTAGTGTATGTATGTTGTACTCCTTGCGCTACTGAGGGATTGAGTTTGGCTCAGTTATCATAAACATCATAATAAACAGTTGTATGTAGTCCACAGCTGCAGTCCAGGTCAGTCCGTCCATTTTTTTGGACTGCATGTCTTGGCACAGTTGACTGGCCTTGAAATCGTAATTTACATCCATCGATCTCCCATTAATTTTCCGATACTGATGAAGAACAGGATCACATTTCAATTTGGACCAACATTTCTTTTTCCAACACTCCGAGCAGGATGATTTAATCCGACTAAAGGTTACACGTGCTGATGTTACAATGGGCATTTTTGCTCGGGTGGACAATGTTTCCCCGCCTCCAACAATGGAGTCCAAGAGATCCCGAACCGTAGTTTCCACAACTATCACTACCGAGCCTTCCTCCGGAGAGGATTCAATCAATAACCAAGCTCTCCAGGGCCAGATCAACGACCTGACACAACAGATCTCTCTTCTACAGAGAAAGACCGACGAGCTCGCGCAGATAGTACATAGGCAGGAAGAACACGAGCAAGAAACCCCACCAAAGGAGACAGAACGTCCCAGCTATAAATTCCCGACTATTCGTGCCAAAGAGGAAGGCGTTCATCGCAGAGATGACCCCAATGGACACCCCACAAATGGTAGGACTCCTCATAGATAGCAACTCGGGTTGAAATATCTTAACCGCCGGGCAGTACAAGTATGTAACTGTCGATGTAGATCACCTGACGGCGGCCCAAACACAATAGGTCTGTAGTCCGTCCAACTACTTTGCCGCCTTTTTTTCTCATTCACGCTGACATTCCCGACTAGGTGGTGGCGTGTACCTCGGTCTCGTTCGCGCCGGGGATGTCGTCCAGCTCGGCGTCCGCATGCAGAAGGAACTGGACGATGGACTCCGCGCGATTGCCGTACGTATGTTTCCACGTGGAGGAAAAGCCGACAGATTCACGGAAGAGCGTCAAGCAATGGTAGAACTGCTCAACAAGGTGTCGCTGAGACAGGATGTCGTCCCTGTAGTTGGTGAAGACTATTTTGCCCGCTATTATGACCCTAACAGGGGAAGATACCAGAGAGCGGCAGGGGCGCGCTACGGATACATGGGCAGGATGCCGGAATCTAGAATTAACGCCTTCTATTATGAGACTTTCCTGCAGTTGGTCCTGCTTCGAGGAATCGACTTGGAGGCGCTGCCGTAGTACTTTGGAACTATTTTCTGTATGCACCGGGATTTGTTTGGAGGAAATGAGACATAAGACTTATATTTTACTGGGAGATGAGCTGGATTTACTTATGATGTATCGTAGCTGGTAGGAAAGGATTCAAGACCAGTCCCATGCCGAGTTCGTTTCGTGTCACTGCATCTGTTGTCCCCAATAACAAGGCTGCGCTTGTGGAAATACACACTACTTTACGGGTATTTCAGCCATCACTTTGTGACAAGACCTCGATTCTCAAACCTATCAAACTACTACCTTATAAGAAACGAATCAGGTAGGATGCGGCCGGAGGGAAGCCAGCCATACAGTAAATGGTAAATAGTCAGTCTAGTGGTTCCGGTGGAGTCCTCACTGTTTTTCCCAAGTGATCCTTTATTGCACTGGGTAGACTTTACCGGACCACATGTGTTGCAGGATATCACGGAGAGCTATATATATATTTATATTATATACCCTAGGTTCAAGCTGACAGACCGGGTGTGCTGAAGGCCGTCCGGGTTTCTAATCATATGGCAGACGAGATGCGTATGAGGACTATCGGAGCCACGGTCGGAGGGCCAGCGGGTAATTCATTTCATATCCTTCGATTTACAGGTCACATAAGCATGTACAAAATTTAAGGAATAGTGTTCATGATTTGGTTTTCATTTCACGTAGTGTGGCGCACCGGTGATGCTGGTACAAGTAAAGTCGAGATTCTAAACAATGAAAGATAAATCATAGTTTGTGACGTTATATAAAAGCAGATAGAACATTGTTACTATTTTATAACCGGGACATATATATATTTTTATATACCTATTAAACTCGGGTTGCATGTAATTAATGAAGCAATCAATCAATCAATAAAGAATCAATACACCTAGGCCTATTGGACAGCGAAATCGAGTGACATCCCATGCCTTGGCATGCGCATCAGGCTTGGTGAACTAAATCGGCGTGCTGAATGGGGTTTTCTTCTTCTCATTGCGTAACGTCTCCTAGAATGAAATCAAATCATACGTTTCAAACGCTCGTCTAGTGGGAAGTGAATCAATTATTTCCTCTACAACCACAGTAGGCACGAGTTTATATTCAATGTAATGTAATCCCAATATGAAGAAAGTCGCCCGAGGTACAAATAGAGGAGTCGATAAAAAGGACGTAGAGAGAGATTGATAGAGGGCGAAAAGGCTTTGAATCCCTTCGCACCACTTCAAAATAAGGCTTCCCTCCAACCCATATTCCTCCCACCTGCAGCCAGCACAAGATTCGCTCCCTCCCCAGCAACACCGCACCTCCCCTCCAAAAAATAAACCCACCCCCAACACGCCTACGGCAGCGCCTCAACATCAATCCCACGAAACTGCAACAGCTGAAAAAACGTCTCGTAGTACAATGCATTCTTCCTATCCCCCTCTGGGGTCTTGCCGAGGTGTGCCTGCCTTGCATCCCCCAGCCTCAAGTACCGCCCCCTGTTAGGGTTCCTAAATGCAAGAACATAAGCATCCCACCCACCCGGCACGGGATCGACCCGCAGCGCCACCTTATTGAGAAGTCTGTTGATCTCTTCGGTGGCCTGCGTGAATGTGCCCGTTACCGGCGCTCCGGTGCCGCGCGGCACGAGGCGCTGCGCGATTGCTTTGAGCCCGTCATCTAGTTCCTTGCCCGCGCGCGCGCTGAGCTCTGCGACGTCGCCGGCGTGGACGAGGCCGAGGTAGACTCCGCGGACTGCGGGGCGCGGGGAGGGATAGGGGTCAGTGATAGGATGGAACAGCGTTGGAAGGGTATAGTGACTACTGATACTAAACTAAAGTGTTTGGGCCGCGGAGGAGGAATCGGCACTTGCAGTTGCAGTCTTTGCAGCGAGGGTTAATGAGAGTCAGTGAAACAATTAACCCAAGGGGGGGATCGATAGAAGAGGGGGGTGGGGGGGTTTACATTGTGGGTCCGCCGGGGGGCGGGGAGCGTTATAACTAGGAGGCGGGCGCTCTTGCTCGATGCCGATGCATGGGATGGAACATTCGCCCTTGCCGTGTACTATCCCCAGGAGCCCCATAGTCTTACCCGGAAGGAGCATAACCTGGCTGGTCAGCTCGTAGATCTTGGCGCGGAGCACATCGGCGTTTTCGGAGTCCATTCTGGGATGTGGGGTGAGTGGTGAGTGGGTTAGAGACTCGGAGAGGTACGGGAGACTTGTGATTTGGATGTGGGTGGTTTTGAAGATAGGGTTTGGGGGGGATTTAAATAGCAGGTTTGTGGAGTACGAAGGTTCAAAAAGTAATAACAGATGATATGTATCAGGCATCCACCAGAGTCTTGGGATTGTTAAACCCCGCGTTATCCCGCGAATGCTATGCAACTCCGATCGGTGTGCCGATTGGTCTGCAGGTAATTCTTTCTGCATCAACTATGTCTCGACCGAAAATGATATATAACTCACTTATGTATTCTAGACCGTGTGTCTCTCTGTCCAGTACCAGGACACTTGGAGTTTGCGGGAAGACCCCCCCCCTCTCTTTCCGCTCTCTTACTTATCGAGGCGGTGTTAATAGATAATACACATATCAACCTTAATCCTTCCCAGCTACTAATGGAAAGCTGGCAAGCTAATATATTTTATATAAGGTTACGACTCTCATACCATGCCGGATGGCACATGGTTTCCTACCTGACTTCACCCGTCATGTGAAATCACTCGCCTCGCACAGAGAGCAATCTGTTGGAATTGTGTTCCGAGCCTAGGAGCAAAGTCCTAATACTCATATGAATACCAGTATATATGTCAATATGTAGTCATATATGGACTGTTCCAGGCACAATATTGTTGTATAAATATGGGCTTGAAATGCCCCCTGTATTATAGTTAAGCAAGTCAATTAAGAAGTCACCGTCTTCCGGATTTATTCTTTATTATTCTTCACTACTATTTATTTCCAACACAATCAATTCAGCGAAGCATAAATACCCTCAGACCCGGCCCAAGTGGCTGAAGTTGGGAGCCCGGGCGAGTCTGATGTGTAAGCTCCAGGCAGGCACAAGGCATGGGGTGGGGGGTGGGGGGTTTGGAGTGGGCAAACTTGTTGATATAATTGTCAATACCGTACTGGGTGATTGCAGAGTGACTGGCAGAGAATTTCACGGGATTTCATAGGGGGGATTGAATCAAAGACACGAGCATTGTTCCCATCTCGCGGTCATTAGGAGTTACAGTTAGGAATATTACTCCCCCCTCCCCCTCTCTACTATCCCCACCCAACCCACCACCTACAAAACATCCCGCCCTCTCCGCCCCTCCTCCCACACCCGCGCAGCCTCAACCCCCCTTTCCACAATCCCCTTCACCCTCACCACGCCCCTCATCACCTCCACCACTGCCCCCCACTGCTCCCACGTCATCGGCACACTCCTCGCCCTCCCCTTAACCAAAACCGTCACCCCCCCTTCTCCCAGCATATGCATCGTCCACACCCTCAAACTCCACCCCACACACAGCACCCCCACCACCTGCATCCCATCCCCCGGCATTCCCGTGCCCTCCACCACAGCCCTCAGCATCCCCCTCAAGCCCCTAACCAACTTTGCGCCATCGTCGGCCTCTTTCGCCCCCACCACACCACGGCTAACCTCAATAGCGCCCAGATCATAAACGCGCCCGTCCGCCAGCACACACCGGAGGACCCCATCGTAGCGGTGGTTCGCACTCCCTGCTGCACTCTTGATGTCCGTCCGCGACACGGAAAGCCCGGGGATGGTGTGCAGGCAGCGGTCCAGAAGTGGCGTCCACAGAGAGGCGAACCAGCCCTCGCGGAGGTCAGAGGGGCCTAGCCAGGGACACGACGCGTAGCTGGTAAGGAGTGCGAGTCTAGAGTAGGGAATATTAGTGTGTGATAGTGGTAGAGTAGTAGTAGTGGGGGGGCGGGGGGTGTACATAGAGGACGCAGCGCTGTTGGCATACAGCGCCGTGGCGTGGCGACGCTCATCGAACGGCTCCCCCGGTGGTCGCGACGGCGTCTCGATTACGTCGTAGAGCTCGGCTTTACTCTTTGGACTCTGTCACATCTTACTTAGCACGCCACACGCCACACTCCACACTTCCTTCCCGCCCCTAAAGAAAGATCTTACCGTCGGAAAGCGCCCAACCGCATATTCAAAAGCCGTATCCCTGTCAGGCAGCCCGGGCCCCCACGCTGCAATCTCCTCCCTTTCTGTAGATTTGAACCATCGAGACACTACCGGGTCGGAGAGGTCGATGATCCATTGCAGGATCGGGTTGTTTTGCAGCCAGGGGGTGGCAGCAGGAGTGGTGCGCACATGGTGGTAGACGATGTCCTCGAGGACGCGGGCGGTGGTAAAGGTGTGTTTCTGGGAGGGCGGGATGGAAAGATATGTGGTGACAAAGAGGGGGTCGTAGGGGAAAGGGGGGAAGGAGGAGTAGGGGTCGTCCATGTAGGGGGGGTGGGGAGAGGTGGGGGATGACGGGAGAGAGGAGGGGAAGGAAGAGTGGTGGTCGTGGTCGGCGGGGTGGTGTGGCGGGAGCTCGGGGGTCGAGGATGGCGGGGTCGAGGAGGGGGTTTGGGGCGAGGCCTGGAAATGATTAGAATTCAAGATGAAAGTGAAAGAGTGCATGGTTGATATCGATGTATGGTCGAGGTAACTCACGAGAGCCTCTGCCTCTGCCTCCGCCTCTGCCTCCGTTTCCACCTCATCCACCCCATTGTTCCGCTGCGTGGACCCCTCCGCCGTCTCCTCCGCCTCCTCCGCCTCCTCCGCCAGCTCGTCCCCTGTCCGCCGCATTCGCCGCTTCCCCGCCGTCACGCCCTCACCCCGCTGCCCATCATCATCATCCTCCCCCCTCCGCTTCCTTGTCCCCGCCCTGTCAACCGTCACCCCCCCACCCCCGCTCCCACCCGCCACAAAAACCTCACTGGAAACCTCATGTATCTTCACCCCACCCGTCTGGATGATATCCCCATTGACGATCGTCTGCTGCTGCACCGACACTGGCGGCGCGTCTGGGCGTAAACGTGTTGATCCAGCTCCCCGACCGTATCTCTTCTGCAATCCAATTAACCATTAACCGTACAGCGATCAAAGGTACACTCCCTGCGAACGCGGCGGCCCAGGCAGACCAAGTGTCAGCACCAGCAGTACAACGAGAGGAGAAGAAAGCAAGCAAAGACAGCGCTGGTCTAGCTCAATCGCGGAGGGGGGGAGGGGGTTAATTCCACAAGTATAGCCCTCTCGGGTCAGGAGAGCAGGACTAGCTCGGGGGATACATACGCAGACAGGGGAGAGAGTAGGATATATGTAAGAAAAAAGGGAAAGACCACAACATCGCACGATATAGATGGATACATGTAGACACCATGAAGACGACTAGCCGCAGCCGCCGACCCATATACGGTCTACACCCAGCGTTGGGCATGAAACGGAAGGACGCACCCCACTCCCGGGCCCCAACCCCCCACTCTGGTGCACCGGAAAGTCACAACTAGCCGCAGCCGAAGCTTCTTTATGAGTGGTGCGTGGGTGGATTGGATATGGCAAGGACGCACCCGCCAGGACGCACCCGACCCGGAGAGCCCCAACGCTGGGGGGAAATATTCTGAATAGAGGGGAAAGGGCGAAGGGGGGAGACATACAGCACTAGACCTCGCTGCATCCAACAGACTGCGCGCTTTCCTCCTGCGGTCGCGCGACTCCAGGCGCGACTCGGCGATGACGGAGAGGTTCTTGCTCCAGCGGAAGTTGAGGACGTCGAACTTGAGGGCACCGAGGGCGGCGGTTAAGTGGGTTGCGAAGGAGGTGTAGGACCATTCTTCGGACGGGCGAGTGAAGTAAAGGTTGCAGTGGGCCGCTAGCTGTTCGTAGGTATGTTTTGGTGGTGGTAGTGGTGGGGGTGGGGGTTCTTGTGCGGGTTCCTGTGGGGGTTGCTGTTGTGGTCGTTGACCTGATGTGTGTTGGCGTTGTTGGCGTTGGCGATTCGGAGTTGACATGGTGATGGTGGTGGATGTGGTGGTGGTTGGTGTTTGGTTGGAAGGAGAGAGAGAGAGAGAGAGAGAGAGAGAAGAAGAGAAGAAGAGAAGAACAAGCGAGGGAGATTGGGGATTGGGGTTAGGGCTGGGGCGGGGCTTGGCATCAGTGCTTCGCTTGGCGCTGAGTCAGCTTGGCAGTATTCTCGTAGCACAGTTTAATCATGAGAGTTACTTGGCAGTCTTGAAATTAAAAACACCCATTGCAGAACTGGTGGCAGACAATTTTGTTTGGCTGTCCTCAGAAAATGCGCCAAGACCGCGAACTTGAGAGTTGAAGGTTAGGGAGGTTACCCACCGTGAGAGCGGTGATTTACCCTCCTAGAATTAACTGTGCCTGGACTCCAGCCGCGCCTGTGTCTCGAATAATTCTTGGTTCGGCTAGACGGCAATCTTTCCATAAGCTACAGCCAAGAGGCAGAGCCACTGCTCATTTCCTATCTTTTGATGGTGACTAGCGCCAGCAGGACCTCTAAAGGGCGAGCCCCACGAGCATGCGCCAGTGGAAGCTCTAGGGAGTAAGCCAGCATCGCCATGGCTTTCCCGCGGGAGGAGACGACGAAGGACGAGCACTTGGTTGGTGGACGTGGTTGCGCTTGCTAGGTGACACTATCAAGTGTAGGTACATAAGACGGTAGAGGTGGGTGTGCGTGTCAAAGAAGTTTATCGAGTGATACTCCATGACTCACTCTGTAGCCCTGTTTACAATGACGGCGGCGGCCTCGAGATTTTTTTGTTTAATTTATCAATTGCATACGGCGCCTTCGAGTCAGTAGGTTGAGGGGGCAGCCCTGATAGATTGAGTCGAGTTACAAAAATATGCTCTGCTATGCTTCACTACGAAATATTTTGCGATTTCAAGAACTATCTTCAGTAGTTAAACATCCTAGAATCATATTATATGAGCCAGAACGCACACCAGCACCCCTCGAAAACCACGACCTTTACTCTAATGTTCGAGTACTATACATACATCAATACCCCCGAGACCCGCCAAAGTATTCCTTCCTTCAAACTCACTGTACTTTGCGTGTTCAAAATATATCCGACGTTCAACACCGGATGCAGCTCCTTATCTACTCGACTTGATCAAATCCGCCGCCTAGAGAATGATGGAATTAGCACTGATCCCGCTCCGCAAAGAACTGCCGCCCAACGTACCTTCTCCGCCACCGCATAGATAGTGGCTTGCAAATGTGCTGCCGGAACGACCGGCGCCACTCCCGCATCTATAACTCTCAACCCTGACACACCAAATACTCTTAACTCCTCGTCTACAACTCCCCCCATCTCCTTTGGCATCATTGGGCTCGTGCAGCACACATGGGAGAAACTTGGTGACATGGTCTTCTTCAAATAGTCCACAATCTGCTCATCAGTTGTCAGGTTTCCGGTTGTGGTCTCGATTGCCCCCAGCTCTGTCATAGCCGGCGTCTGCATCAACCGCCTCCCAGCGCGGAAGGCATCAATCATCAGCTCCATATCCAAGGGGTTCTCAAAAGCCCGCCAGTCGACACTGGGCGGCGAGAATGGATCCAGAGATGATGCACGGATATCACCGCGGGATAGAGCATGCGAGAGCGAAATAACAAGGGGACCAGCAGAACCAACGCTGTATTCGATTGTTGCGGCGTCACTAGAACCCCATATGTCAAGCAACAAGTCGCGTTGCTTCTTATAACCTGCAGTCACGCCTGGATCAGCGCCTGGGCTGAGATACGTCTCGTTCTGGTTGCGGCCCTCGGCCACAAGCTCCGATGTTTTGTTGGTGAAGGAGTTTGTGGAGATAAATGCGAGTGCATTCCCGGCAGAGACAGTGTACGGGCCCGTCTTGCTCAAATTGTAGAGCTCACGATAGTAGGCCGCTAGAGTGGCGTTTGAAGTGAGGTTCTGAGGGCTGAAGGCGAGACCTGTGACTTCTAGGGCTTAGTACACCGTGGTTCTCGACAGAGAAATACAATCAGAGAATTAATGACTTACAGCTATATGGCACAACAAGGGACGGATGATCTTGAAAATTACTCCCCACCCCCGGGAGGTCTGATACCACCTCAACGCCTAGTTCTTCGAGTAGTGTTCTTGGGCCAATTCCCGAAAGCTGAAGCAGCTGTGGAGTATGGACAGCGCCGGCAGCAACGACTACTTCGACCGTGGCATTCACAATGTACCGTGGCTGATTACTACCAGCGGAATACTGTATCATCGAAAGAAAATATTAGTGAATAACTCGATTCCCGTAAGAACAGGGAGGAATGGCCAACCTCAACACCATAGGCTACTGCATCCTCTGTTAAAATCTTTGTTACCTGATTTCCAGCCAGTAAATGATAATTCGCACGCTCTACTGCCACGTCGTGGTCGTCAGGTCGAGTGAATGATCGTGTCATCGTTATTGGATTCAGAGAGTTCGGGAGATAGAATACACCGACTGCACTGGAAGCTTGGTCGTTGGAGGTCTGGACTCCAAGCTGGTTCATGGCCTTTATAAAATTTTCTATGCGTAGGCGAGGGATGTCAGTAAAATTTACATTTAACCGCATGAGGTTATATATGGTGGGTAGGTTCAAGTTACTTGTTTGGTTGTATATGAATGGCGGATAACTCGCATGCACTGAGCCATTAAACCCATGTACCGACTCATCATAGGTAATCCCAAATTCACTCACAATCTCATCAGACGGCGGTGTGAATGTCTCGCTCTATACACGGTAGAATATCGAATTAGCACGCATTTTTCAAAGCATACCGCCAAAAGGTTTCGAAGAGTTCAAGAACCTTGATGAAATATGGCAGCAATCCTTCCCATCCCCACCCCTCGTTTCCCAACGCCTCCCACAGATCGTAATCCGCCGGCGACCCGCGGTGGAACAACATCCCGTTCAAGGCACTACTCCCGCCAACAACCTTACCGAGTGGTATGGTGATATTACCGTTTACGAGAACATCCTGCGGGACAGTTGGTACCTGCCAGTCATAAGAGGTACCAAGAGTAGCGCCAACATCTCCAGGAACATAGATACTGTCTTCGTGCTTGTCTCTGCATCTAATCGTTAACTGGCCTAATTCAAACTTCTTATGTACTTTTTGGTCTACTTACAGTTCACCAGCTTCAATAACAAGAACTGTCGCTGTATGATCGAATAATTGTTCAGAAACCGAAGCTAGAGAAAGTTTTCAATGAATGGAAACACAGCTGCAACTTACTAGCTAGATCCTCCGTCAGCCGATTTGCAACTACCAGCCCCGATAGTCCGCCGCCGATAATGACATAATCATATTGATCGAGCAGATCCTCGCGGCGCTCAATCAGTAAGTACGCAGAAGCCGTAGTTACAGCAACGGATAGAAGAGAGATATGACCCCACAGCATCATCGGTTCCTTAGACAGTTCAAGGTGATGAGCCCCTTTGTTCGGGAAATGGAATCCTTTTTATACACCCCAGCTTCGCTTGCCGCGTAGAGCTCCATATATATGGGCTCCTGCAGGAACCGCACGTGTACGTTCGCTGGTTCTCCTAACCAGGTTATCAACACTTCTATGCTTACAGATACTGGGGTGGTTCCCCGCCTCTTATTACCATTGATAGGCAAGTGGATCCAGATGAAATCTCGCTTCCCTGCCATGTCATAGCGAGATCAGGCGAATAATTAATATGCATGCTCCCTATTCCCCACTAGAGTATGATGCCAGCTTGAGTCAGGGCTGGCATCCCCAGAGCCCTGATCCTTGTGAGTGGAAACTTTAGTTCAGGCTAAATCAACATGTGTCGGGACCTTACCATATCGCTATCCGAGCTGGGCACGACAATAGTTAAAACCTAGTCCTGAACAGCGGCAATGCTTGTGCTGATCGTTCGATCACATTAACGACGGCGGTGAGATACGGTCAGAGCCGTTCTAAGCGATCCCTTGCTCAGTGCACTAAGGTACTGAGTGTAGCAAAGAGAAGAGATTCCTTCCCCCATAAAATATCACTCGGTCCGAACTGAGATTATGATTGATTTATTAATCGATTCGGATTGTCACTGAAGGGTATACCTTGCCTGGTAGATCAGAACTGTAGTGATGTTATCTTCCCTTTTGTTGATAACGTTTCTATTATACTCAGATGCCACAAAGATGACGTCTTCCGCCGGCGATAAGTAGTGATGGGCACAAGAAAAAAAAGGCTCGACTTTGTCCCGCGATAGGAGACAAAACAACACAAAACATAAAATATCTAGTCTCAAGACTTTTCAAAATATACGAGTGATTGTCTGTGACCTTGATACCAAGGTCAAACTCCACAGTTTTTAAATTTGCTGGTTCCCCCCCCAAAACAAAAATACCATCATGTAAAAGATTTTGTTCCGGGGGAGATCCGGTTGTGTAAAAAGATCTTATTATGTAAGAACCTGATCATCCTAACCTCTAACCCTAAGTCTCAAGATTTTGCACAATATATAGCAAAGTAGTTAAGTGACAAAGGTGGTTTAGTCTAATTGAGTTGGTCACTTATAGTGAATGAGGAAGTCACTTATAGTAAATGACTCTACTAAACGACATAGTCATTGATGGTTTGCTACTAGAGTATGGGAGCCTTGGAGTACACGCTCGATCCATCCAAGTGGCCCTCTCCCGCTCACAGCCTTACTAACCTCATTGGAGACCTATCCTTAGTCGCAAGCTGGATAAATTCTTACTGCGGATGGCTGACGGAGGTACCTATCTATGACTAGCTATTCATCCTTCAATCTATAGAATCTACTATAGCACCTGATTTCTCAGCATAATCCACAGGGTCAGATCATGGATCGTTACTCACTCTGATTACTACCTGTAGATATAATTTGCCTTTAGGAAATCTAATCGAGTGCTAACGAAAACTTGACAAGGCTGAGAATTAAAGAATTGAGAGTTTAACCGTACTTTACTCACCTTTACCACGGGACCCAGGTACTTCCATTTGAACGTCCAAGAGGCAGCTCTTTCATGTATGCTGGGGTCGAAGGTGAAGGAATAGTCTGGAATTTCCTCGTAACTGTGTCGGCTATGCCCTCACTTTTCTTATTATACGATTACCGATTAATTCAAGTACGACAAGATTGTGCCGAATGGACAAATACGGAAAAACTGAATATAGGCGGTTTTATCGGACTCAATTTATACGCGGCGATCCCTCCCCACGCGACCGCGTTTGACAGTGGTAGCTAAACTCATGCTGGCCGGCCCCAACTCACGTATACACTGCGAGGACGGAGGCGAGACTCGCCAAAGAGATGTCTGCGCGAATATGGCCTGGCAAAGTTACCTTGGATCATAAATTACTTGCTATTGGTATATGACGATATCTTGCTTCAGCCATTTCTCATGGATCGATAAACGATAGTATCGGGAGCGTACAGAGATAAGAGAAGGGAGGAAAGGCTAGAAGAGAGGAGTATCAATGGCTTGAGGTAAAAATAAAACGGTTTCTAAATAGAGTGCAGAACACAGCCTTCTCGCCATCCTCAGCAATGGTGCTGCAGACCCCTGAGAAAGGCTAGTATGTGGGAAGCTGACCCTTCAAGCTACGAAGGAAGGATCGCGTCCCCTTAAATGATCATTTCCTCATAATATGGACCCTGAATTGTTAGACGACTGCGCTCCACCGTGAAAATTGTCAACGACATACCACATCAGATTCCCCCAGAGCACATAACACCCCTTATTCGCCAGTGGAGAAAGAGTAAGGTTTGTAAACATGACACCTATATTTCCAGCTGCTACAGCGAAAGCTTTCTATAAGGGTACGCTCGGGACCGGAATTTGGTACCGTTACGGAGAGATTACCCTTATATAAATGGTGCCAGTGCTGAAAGCCGGGCAAAAAGGACCGAGAGGTGCTACCCTTATAGAAGATTACCCTTATAGAAGGTACCCTTATAGCAAGCTTTCGCTGTAATAATAATGTGTCATAGAAGATGTTATGGTGTTGTTTTGTTCGTTTACAAATCCGTATTATACATCGGGCGTATAGGAAAAGTAGATTAGAACGCCTACAAACCTTCAAAATATCCACTGGATGCCATCCGTGTCGGGGGGGTTGTTTTCCTTAAAGCTCTGTCACCACGTCCCTCACTCTTTATTTCATTAACTCCACGAAATGTACGTTTACTGATAGGTTCAAGTTGTGAGTTCTTGTGCAGTACTCCGCGCTAAGCTAGTTCAAGCGGCCAAGCGAGGAAGGGTCCTGGCCCTCGCACTTGGCAGGAAAGCTTATTATGACGACCGCGCTGAGGCTTGATGCGATAAGATGTACAGTCACTCACGGGGTGAAGGCGGACCCTGTCTGATGGCGGTCAGGGACTTGAGGCCAATAAAAGAGTTAGGTTTTGGACCCCAAGGGCAAATTACTGCAAACAGAACCATCAGACAGGATCCGCCGTCAGTAGGTGAACGACTGTAACTGGAAGCAATCACAAATGTATATACATACATGTATGTATGAGAAGTCCATTGTGGTGTTACATAATTACCAATAGTGAATCATATTATCACCCCACTACGGTCCCCAAGACACGGAAGTGATGTTTTTAGTGCGGAGACTGTATGTAATAGTACATGTATTCTAGCTTGCGCTTACTCGTTTACTTAATTATCGCCATGGGCATACTGTCGAGGTATGCATAGGTCGTACACTGCGCACAGTCCATTGACCTCTGACCAAAGAATCTACATCTCTCTAGATGGATACATGTATCTACTAATGCCATATGGCCGGAATCATAAAGAGCTAAAGCACGGCCTTCGAGGCGAGTCAACTGCGCAAAACGTTCACCCCATTCAACATCGCGCTCTCTACCTGCATGACCTACGGGGAGGCTCTGGACATCCAGCGGGATGTCTCTGCAATACCAAGGCGATTGGATCCCGAGAAAATAAGGATATCAAATCTCTTATTGCCTAAAACTTTACTAATAGCACTCCACATTCAATTCGATTCGAAGTGAATACACAGAGTTGTATGGAAGCGACGTCCCGAGTTTAACTACTGGAGCACTTCACAGAACGACAAATCAGTGACGGCCGGCATTGATTGAAGAACCCGAAAGTACGGAAACAACCGAGCGGAACGAGGGAGTGGAAGTGGTCAAGGAATTGATGTCACTCGAGAATCCGCTCCGCAGTGTGGCCGGAGATCCCCTCTCCTGACATATGATGTCGCGACTCCCGCCCGGATGCCCTAAGCTCGATGAAAGAAAAGAAATGAAGACGGTATATAGGAGAGGCTGAAGAACTAGTGGGATGCACTGAGATTGAGAGTGGGTAGGAAGAAAGGCAGACAGTGCCGTAACAGGTATGACGAGATTGATCTATATAGTCACGCGGAAGACTGTCTCCTCATGTATACAAAACTTTATCCTTATTGTTACCCTAGCTTAGGGTAAATGCTCCGCCGCACCACACACAAGTCCCGGACAGTCGATGGAGAAGGAAAATAGAAATCCTAAGCAACTCAATCGGGGCCATAATAATCAACTTTCAGGGTCTTTTCTTTGTGAATTGATAGCGGAATTAAGCTAGTCAACTAAACAAAGCCTACTCTAAATTCCTCGTCTTCGATCTTCAAAGTTATATCCTGGTAGGCCTCAATTACCACCTCCATTCAGGTGTCCTCCGAGGGAGCATATTGAATTCGAGCTCAATACAGAATAATAATAAATTTAGGATCATATACCGAACTCAATAAATTAGGCACGCGTGATATGTCTATTTTTAGATAATATATTAAACTCAGCCACCCTTCCGAGTGTTCCAGTGCTTTTGTGGGGAAAGATTATGTGGGATACGAGATCATCACAATCTTGCCCAGTCCCAGACCTAGGTATGCCCGCACCTGACGCGCTATAAATTAACAAGGCGCGAACATCGCTCCCGAGGGTTGTCTATCTTCAATCCTATAGTTCTTATTTACCGCCGAAGTTATTTTATAGCTAATTAAGGATCAAGGGGCATTCATGTCATGATCTGAATACAAGTAGGGGGAAGGAACCATTTTACGTACCGTATCGACATTTACCAAGTTTCTACGCCGTTTAGTTTGAAATGTATGCTATTCATTGTATGATCATATGAGTTCCAAGAGAAAAGAAAGGAAAAATCGATGCAGGAAAGATGGGTCACGGAATTTCCTAGTCGCCTTCCCTAGTCTTGTGCTCTTGCTCTCCGATCGCAATCAGCACTTTCTACAGCAGGGGGCTTCGGGCGCCGGGGTGGGAAGCTTACTCAAAAACAACTGTGGCCTCCCGATGTAACATTCCTATATATCAGTTAACTCATGACACACAATAGTAACATTCACGCTACCACTAGCGGGGACTCTCAAGCCCGGTACAAATTTTGAAACCTATACACCATAGAATAACCTTTGATTTTAGCTGCTACGTTATACCTTCGAGCTACTGTAGGGTCCAGATCGACGATTCTATGTCGTTTGGGCGCACGCGGTTTCCTCGTGGGTCCATATTAGCTTCACTGAGGTACAGGCTATGCCGATCATGACTACAATAGGGAATTGAAATAAGATCTAGCTGAAACGCCGTCCAGCGTGAGGCGAAGCACTATCTCAGATTTTATTTGAGGCACACTACCCGCTTCATGATCATATCACGCATACGGGGATCAACATGAATCATTACATTTCAAAGAAGTGGCATTAGATACGAGAAATAACTGATACGATCGCGAGCGGAACTCATATCCGAGCTCAGAAACCATGTTCCCCTTCCAGTCAACTCATTGATGGTAACATTTTTGACCTGATACCATGTCAGACTGGTATCAGGCATTACCGCGCAAATTTGGTCGTGTTTATTGCCGAGTCTGTTCGTCTCCAAAATTTATGTCAAGATCTCAGTGCTGTTGCCATACGACACGATTCTAGGTCCGATACGGCACTCGGCTAAAAACGTTATGGATGATTGATGGCACACAAGGGCCATTGACAATCGGGAATGGAAATCAGGCTCACCCCTTTCCAAAACATTTCTCTTCCGAGTATGAGTGTGCAAGGTAGGTAACCGGGTAATCATCTGATGCGGTCAAGTTCGGAATATTACACTTACTAATTACCAACCATCCTAACTGAAAACTTGCTAAGTGCATTTATAGAAGGTGGTATCAACCATAAGCTGCATATTAATATATATATGTAGGATAGTCCCTTCTTGGTCCACTATATATATTACTTTTGCCCTACTAAACTTGGACGTTACTGCAAGTCAGAGATGGTGTGCGTATATTTCGACTTTCAGCTAACGCCTACCCTACTATGGGTCACGTATTTTGATTCATACATCCGGTACAAGGCTCATAATCAAGACGCCACTCTTCAACCAAAGTATAGCTCGATCAGGTAGTTCTTTACCGGACTACATATCTACACCTACTACTTTCATTATATGCTGAGACTAATTTTGGCCTGGAGGAGATCGACACGTCTTCTCCCATGGCCTATGTGAAGCGGACAAACTCTGTGTGTGCCAAGCCTGAGTGATATCCGATGACCGAGTGATAGTCCATGAATTCCAAATCCATTCAAAAATCAAAGGGTAGTACACTGCCTAGATAAAAAAAAAATCGTCCTTCGATCTAGCTTCTATGAGTGGGGCCAGAATCTTATCATATACGTATAAGTCGTGAAAGGCACCGAATAATCGAGTCAGAACCAAGTCGTCGAGAGCTAAACCAAGATGTCCAAGAATTAAAGCCTCCGGACCTTGATATACTTCAATACATGAGTACCAGCCACCTAAATACAAGTAAGCTAACCAATCAATGCTCAGAATTCATATAAATTCCATGAGATCGCACAAGGCGATCACTGGTAAACTACCGAGATGCTTAAACGGGCCATTAAAATCATCTCTAATATACGTATGCAGCAGCCCGCGGTATGGTCTCATGATCAAAATATGAATCCCACAGAACACCATATTAGGCGCCGTGCTCGGGTGTGTCGCACATCTGCATGGGTCCGCTATTATTGGATCTGTCTGTTCAGGGGTCAACCGATATCGAGGCAGAGAATTTATAATTACTCACACTGAGCCCATGGTAATGAGAAAAACAGCAAGATACGTTGGTTTCTAGAAAAAGATCCGCAATTCTCAATATTACCTAGATATCCATTCAATATTACTTTAAGATACTGCTCTATATCCCTCAAACTTCCAATAATCTTCCGCAGCCGAGTCTTTCTATTCAAACGCCCCTAACATTACTAGCTCAAGCTCCTTGTAAGTTGCCCATAGTTATAGTGATCAGTAATATATCCCTTTATAGTCATTGAATTGCTTTCATTCCTGAATGTTACAAAACATAATAACTTGCTAACAAGGAAGGATACTCAATAGCGAAATTTAATTCTTACCAACGTTCTGACACTTTTCCTGAGGGCCCCAAGATGAAAGATTCAGAAGAGAAGCCAGAAGCCGACTTCGCGTCAATGTCCAGTAATATTATTTCAGATTTCGCCCCGATCTTGGCACTTTTCGGTGAACAGGTCGCAAAGCAATTCCTCAGTCAGTCAATGGGGTGGGGCGACCATATCATCTTCTCGATGGCTCCATTGGGGATCATAACGGCTGTTATATCGGCTATCCGTATTGGCGGGCCGCAGTGGCTAAAGGCTATCGTTGGCCGAGCAAGAGAGCACCGTGCCGCTGCTGAGCTGGAACTCATGTCATCCACATCGCATGAAGTCTGCGAATTGTGGAACGGACAGAACATTGTGAGAATACTGGGCGCGCCAGCTATTCGGGAGCTTGTCCTTATTAAGAGCTCAACTCCTGGGGAAACATCAGAGGAAGCAGGCGTGATGTATGAACTACACACGCTTGACAACGAAATGAGCGAACAACATTTTGAAGTGCAAGGTAGGAGAAATATAATCCGGAACATACGAATATATGCATTCAAAACTTACAAGGCACTAGATGTTCGACGCGTTCGGAGTGCTGTCGCCAAACGCAATACAGAGGCGGGGAACGATATAGAGCTGAATTCGAGTGTGTATAGCTCCTTCCCCGAGATCTCTTGGAGTACAAGACGATTGACCATGAAAAGCTCGGGAAACGCACGATGTCGAATCTACAGGTGAGGCACCGGGGGTCAGACATCGAAGCACTGCGTCGGGACAACATACCCAGAATACCACAAGGCATAGTGATCTTCCCATTACCAGTGCACCAAACATAACTTTGAACATTAATAAGCGCGTACCCCAAGTTGAGATTCGTTGCGTTGCTATTTCCGCTGTTTCGTTACAGGCCGCTGTACTTGTATACGCATATAACTCAACATATAACGCCCGACTGAGAAGATCTCTGAATGTGGAGTGGGATGCTGTCTGGGCCTGGTACTGTACTCTTATAGGTACGGTGCTCTTGGTAACCGGAGTGCTGGCTTGTTGCCTCATAATTGAAAAGAGCACGGTTGAAAAAACGTATCATCTGAAGAGTGGTGGCGGAAGGTTATTATGGCTACAAAAGGGACAGACTGTCAGCGATCAGGTCTTTAACTCCAGTGTAATACTCGCCAAAGACTCGACGTCTATTATTCTCACATCCAGGCGAAACGAGGATTTGAATGATTTGTTCCATCCAACCTCCTGGGCGATTAGATATGGAACAATCGGAGCAGCCATATTAAGCATCAGCGGTTTCATCGTTCAATTCATGGGCCTGCGTGGTATGCACTGGTCAGTTTCAGTTGCCCAATTCGTATCTACGGCGGTAATGACTGTCTTGAGGGCCGTACTTCGCCGAGGTCTATCGGATTGTCCAGAACACCACAAACTCCCCAAGGATCACGAGATTGACTGGCTATCGGTCCGATTCCCTGAGAAGGATGGTGGGTTGAGGCTCGAAGATAGGCAGCCCACAGTTCCAGGATCTACACCTGCAAGAGGAATGTGGAGAGACTTTTTCCGCATGAGCGGAAAACCACATGCGAACCCGGCTGGCCCCCCGGTGCCCCTGGGAGACCAACGCTTCGAGTGGACCATTGTTAGTGGGGCCCTAAACAGCAGTTATGGCCCTCCCAGCGTCCCTCCGTCCGGTACGAATAGAGCGCAGATTGTTGTTAACTCTCGGGAGCGACTTGGATATCTCACACGGTGGCCGAGTGTGTACTCAGACAAGGCAACCTCACTTGCAGCCGCTATAGAATGTATCATGAACACCTCCGGCTTGTACAATGGAACTGATCCCTTTGTCTGGTGGATGCGAGCAACTACTGGCGCCTCGCCTGAGATAATCGAATTTCGCATCAATCGGGTCGACGACCGGTGGGTGGTAAACCTAGGCCAGTTAGAAGCAGTGCTGTCTCTCTGGATGTATTCAGTAAAGCAGAGCGAGATTAGCTTAGACGAACTTGGCGATGCATGGCTGCGTAGCGGTAAAGGGAGTAGGAAGGCCACGATTCGACTTCTAGGACAAAGTACACCCCTACTACGGCGAGATCTCAGATGGTGGATGGGAATGGACGCACAGAGTATCATGGATACAGATATGAGTGCGCCCAACTTAACAGGGCGGGAGCCGCTGGTGGTTTGTATCAGCCAACATGAACCTCAAGTGGTTGGCTCAGCAGGAAGGGTTATTGAGAATAATGAGGTTCACAAGTACTTACCGATGTCTTCTGATCTCCGTGAGGTGATGAAAGGGCCTGTTCCGGTAAGGTTCCAACTACTATTAATATATATACCGTTAACAGAGTTCTAATCTGTGCAACTTCGATACATAGTGTCCAGGCTCTCTCTTTTCCTCGACTCAATCTTCTTTGCAATCGATTTTTGCACTTGAGATGTTCACTGCCTTCGTATGGGCCCTTGCTGCATCACCTGGTTTACGCGGAATCGGTGTCGAAAATGGGGATGAGGGCCGAACAAAGTTGGATGAATACTCGCAGTCTCAGTCGGCAACCTCAAACATTATTAATTGGGACAAGATCAGACTTCAGAGCCCTGTATTATCGAAAATCATATCGGAGCTCGAGGAAACTGGGTTGGGAGATTCCTCTCAGTTATTCCAGAGTATTGTCCCACCTTTAAGTACCCATCGAAAACTCCCTGATACGTATATCGTAGTTAAAAACATACACGAGAAGGCGAAAGACTTTCAACGCCAGGGGCAGTGGGGGACGGTATTCGATATGTATTTTTGGCTTTTGAATTGTTTCCTTAAGGTACCCAACCATCTTAAGATACCTGCTGGGGGTAATATCGGTTCGGAGGCACGATCGTGTGTCATGGCCGTAGCAGTTTCCATGGAATTTCTCTGGAGCCTCGGAGAGGAAATTCAAAAGCGCAAGGATGAGGACTTGGTGTTGGATAACCAGTTAGTAAGGGACCACAGGCAACTACGGGATTTTTTAACAAACTCGGAATTTCGCGGGTTGATCAAAGATGTTCTACTCCCGCTTGCAAACCTATATGAGATACAAGACCGGAAAATAACATGGGAACCACTACGTTCTATCTACTACAACTCTTGCTCGCGGGGCTCTATTTTCCCTCGGGTAGCTGACCTACACAGAAAAATCATCAAAGGAGAGTACAAAGGAGACCCCGTTTCTAATGTGGATCAAAAGGACGATTTAGGGTGGACTGCATTACATTACATGGCTAAGGAGGGTAGGGTGGATATCATATCGCATCTTGCGGAGAACGGCTATGCTCTTTCCCCAGACGACCATGCCGACTGGAAAGCCATCAATCTCTTGGGTTGGACACCTCTACACTATGCTGCGCTCAACAGCTCACTTGAGCTAGATTGGGCGCATAAAATGGACAAACGAAAGCTTGATGTGAACATTCAAGGACGCGATGGAGTCTCACCTTTACATTGCGCAGGAAGAAGTGGTAATGTGCATATGGCAAGGCATTTGATAATGCTCGGAGCAAATCTCGGCGCTTGTGATAACAATCGGCAAACACCTCTCCACTGGTCGGCCTATCACCGCTCCGTCGATGTTTTCAGATTAATGCTGGCATTTGGTGCTGAGTTCCGATCCCCAGACGAGTATGGAAGGACCTGTCTACATCTTGCAGCAATGTCAGGCTCAATGGAGATTGTTGGTGATCTACTCGGAGTAATGAATATCGCCGAGATGAATCTGAGAGAGAGGAACGGACGCACAGCTCTATGGGTGGCATGTATCTTTGGACACGAGAGTGTCTTAGAGACTCTTGCACGGCATAGTGGTGATATTATACGTGATGAGGGACTGCTTTATACAGCGAGCAAAAAAGGCCTTTTCAATACTGTAAGGTTTCTACTTCAGCAACCCACAAACACATTCCCGACACAAGAGGAATGCGAACGTTCATTTTATATAGCCAGTAGGAGTGGTCACGTTGAGATTGTTAGGTTTTTGTTGGAAAATAGAGAAAGTGTCGGATCAGGTATCCTTGGTGGTAGGAGTGCGTTATTCACCGCAAGTAAACATGCTCACATGGAGATAATAAAGTTACTCCTCGATGAAGGATTTAGGATGACCGGAGATAGGAAGAGATGGGAGGAGCTAATGGCCAAGGCAACTCTGAAGGGGAAACACGAGGTCGTTGAGTTACTTTTGGACAAAAGGGAAGGTAATGACGCAGTTAATTGCGGATCGAAATACCATGATCTTATCTTTGAGTTGTATGACTCCGATAATCCACCATCAGACTCCGACTGGGAAAGCCCAAGGCAGATAGATGCTCGACTGTAGTAGTAGGTGGTTGGGAATTGTACGAGGAAGGGTGCACGAAATATTTGAAGACACATGCGGCGGTTGGAAACTAATCTGGCTTCGATACACTGTAATACATGCATCTGTTCATCGGAATTAATATAATGGTCTATTCAATCCTCGCTGCCACTCGAATAAGTAGTTATGAAAACGCGAGTAAAACGTACCTTTACCGGGTTTCGACCAGCTGAAGGGAGACATATACTTCCGCTCAATAATACTTGATTAATAACTACAATGAAGAAAGGATGGAGCAATGGAAATTACCTACCGGGTATACTGGCCCTAAGCACCCTGAGAAAAGCTAAAGCGGTCGTTCCTTTCTTCCTTTCTTCCTCTTTCAAGCTTTTCTTTCCCAGAATTAAGAAGAATTCAGAGACTTTCTTTTAGTGATGGGCACGAGACGTGAGGTCTCGAGACGATGACTCGCTTTCCAAAGGAGACAAGACAAGAGCAATAAAAACAGGCTTACAACCACCTCGAGACTATCGCGGGTCGGTCTCGAGACGAATCGCGAAACTAATTTAGAACTTCTAAAAGGTTTGGGTGGAATTATAATACTCTTTCGAAGAAACTATTTTCCCGCAAGATAATAATTAGCATGTACAGCGACAGGTAATAAACGATGGAACGCCCTGAGAATACAAACACTAAATGTTGGTGGCGTTTTACCAAAATAGGTACGTTGTATAGTTGGAGAAAGACACATAACGTGGCATCTTATCCTAGCTGCTACGAGAATAAGCTTCTGTCACCACGTTTGCGTTGCGGCCGCATTTTCTAGTGGAAACTCATTCTCCCAGCAAGTACATTTCGTATTCGTATTCTTTTTCTTTTGAAAATCTCGAGGCCGGAGATCTGACCCCCCGAGACTTCGCAAAATGTCCCAAGGAAAGAATATCGAGACCTTTTCCTATAAAAACAAGTCAAGACAGTACATACCATCCTCAATGTGGTCCCGTCTCATGCCCATCACTGCTTTCTCTAGTTTCTTGTTACGTACTGAATTATGCAGTGAATCTTCCCGAGATCTCCAGAGCCTTCCATCACCCATCCAGGAGTACTAGTGGACCGACTAGTATCTTGAGGAAATTCAAGGATCTGAAACCTTTCCCATACACTTATTCCAGGCTCGATTAACCAGCCAATGACCTGTTCCTGCGCCCGAAGCTAACTGGAAAATGTGGTTTACTAAGATATATGCCAGCTACTAACCAAAGATTAAAATTTTATTAAAGAAACTCTTTATACTATATATTCTAGATCACCGCTTGAGACGGGGGATTCCGCTTAGCGAGTTGCAACAAAAAAAAAGAAAGGAAAAAATATTATTGAAATCAACGTTTTACAGGCTTCCCAGGTACATTCTTGGTTCATGTTTGGAACACCTAGATTAATATCTCATATCTCGAACCCTATTTAGGGTCACTCACCTATGTAATGTCCCGAAAACCATGTTGATTTGGGGCCATTAACTAGGAAAATAGCACTACTATAGATGTATGGGGCCACAGGCCATTCATTCCCAGAGGGCCCAGATCCATTTACAAAACCATGAAATCTTTGAACGGCCCCAAGCAAATAAACTATTAATACAGACTAGGTCCTAAGTCTCTTTTTATGAAAGCTTCAGTTTAAGGCGTCATTGTTCTTTCCAACGTTAGGTACAACGTAAAAACGCTAAGAAATCAGGTGGAAAGCGAAGCAAGATAGGAAGAGTAGAAAACAGAAAGACGCCTAGGTTTGCTATCTGAGAGATCTAGGATGTGAAGTATCACTTTCGATAGGCGCTGGACCGCATTCTTGGGGTTTTCAATTAACCCAGAAAATTACCCACGGCAAAGGACATTCTAAAGTCATTTAGTTCACTCTCAACAGTTGATGACGGTCAGATAATACTTCATACTAGGGGGCAGCCCAGTTGAGGTTGGCCTGGCTAGTAATATCACATTGGATAAGGTGCGAACTCTGAGATATGAAATTTAATGAAACTCTATGGAAATGAAAGTTTACGTCTCTAATGTTTAGTGAAATAAGAATATCGTAACGTAAACAATCGATCTCAACTCACACTGAGTTAGGATGATCATTAACCTCACAATCTGTCGGCCGTAAAATCTTCTGCTTCATGACCTCTTTTGCCCCCTCCTCCCCCCACCGCTCCTGTGCGTCCACTCCCACGTATAGGGCTCCCATCCTCGCTCTCGGACCAGTCACTATGGTGGATTAACTCATTAGCAATCTCGACCTTCTATTGTATATTTAAATCTATCATCCATAACAATTAAACGGGTGCAAGGGACCTACAAATCCCCCTCCAACAGGCCAACGCGATCCAGCAGCTCCCCCAAACCGGGATCACGCCTCTTATGATCGGCGGATTTCCTGTATATTATAGCTTCCGACAGGCTGTTGTCCTTCTTATACTTCTTCAAATTGAGTACTACCAGCTTGTACGCAGAAGCTGCTCTCTGATAGCGAGAACGCCGATATTCAACAAGGGATGGGCTGGGTTTGATGAGGCCATTGGCTCCCTTTTGGCTGTCCCTTTGCTCCACTTCCATCAAACGTGAGAATTCCTCCGCGGAATCCCAGCACGCAGTGAGCTCTGTAAAGCATTTGTCACCATCGGCCTGTGTCTGTGAACCTGAGGCCATCTCAGCACCTGTAGATTGTTCCGCTATATCGCTCCGACCTCTTTGGATCTTGATTTAGGTGACGGAGCACCGATTTTTCGTATCTCGATTTTAGGGTGATGGATCAGTGATTCTGGAGCTCAGTCTAGGGCGATTGAGCTTTTGGATATTTCTTGGCCTGTTGAGATGAGCAGTTAGGATTGGCGATCCCAGGCGACTATGTATTTATGGCTCGATCCTGCTAGCTCTGTTGTGGGAACAAAGACGAGCCCCCTCATCGTGCCGTTTCACGCTAGCTGTAGTCCCCATCTCTCTCTTGACGCAGAGAATGTGGTCGAGAGTACGCTGGATGGCACTAGTATTGTCGCCCGTTGGGATAGTATTGATGGAACCCCCGTTTCAACTGGAAGAATGCATCCGTGGTGTTGAGACAAGCAGCGGTTCTTGTCTGTGGCGGACGTCTTTGTCGACGGAGGTCTGGAGACCGACTGAAGCAAACGTTAGCATATTGTTTCAGAATATCTTCATGGAAATGCCGATATTCGTTTCCGAACATTCTACGAGACGGGGAAAACGAACCTTGCCGTACCCCATTCCCGTCAAGAACCATCCGGCCTCGTTCTCTGGTTTCCCAACTACTCCTGATGTGTTTGCCGCCCCCTCTTATTCCCCCAATTCCACCACCGTCTAGAACCACCCGACTTGGTTCTCTGGTTTCCCAACTACTCCTGATGTATTTTTCCCGTTCCCACAAAGGAACATAGGCTCTTTCGCCGCAGCCATTGACTATTCACACGCTCGAAATCGTTAGCAACGACCCCCAGATCTTTATATGTTTGAAAGAAAACCATATACATACGCCGCTCCCAAGCAGCAGTCACTAACCTTAGTATCATCTTTATCCCCACCAGCACCCGCCTTGATCGTGGGGAGATAGTTTTCTTCCCAGCAGTAAGAGTCGACTCCCCTGCAGGGCGCAGTGATAACCCATGATCGACGGAGCCCGCCAACGGGTCTCTGGTGGTATCAAGCACCGAGAGTCGTCCGCATTCTCCCCCCGTTTGATGGAGCTGCGCAGCGGTCGATGGCATGGTGTCAGACGTAGGAAAAAACGAGCGGACAGGGGCGTGAGAGGAGGGTATTTGTATTTATTTATCGCTCGCGGGCGTGCGGCTGCGGGAGAGCACTAGCTGGGATAGAATGGGGGTGCGGTTGAGTGGGATATGAATAGAAGGTGCCATAAGGATGCCACCAGCATAAAATGGAGAAACGTATAGGTATTCTTTCTATTTTATGCCCCGAATATAACAGAGCTATGTATTTCTTTCTATGGTAGATCTGCTAATGACTCTAAACTCTTACGGGTTGTTGGAATCTTGGGTTGGTGCGGCAACGACGATTGAGCTATCACTACAGGGCTAGAGTGGGCATTCCATGCAGCCATACAGCGACTGTTTTAATCATCGCATACACATATTCGTTGCGCGCGCAGTTGGTCAAAGACGGGGATATAAACATGAATCCCTCACCACCGATCCATATCCGGTCACAGAGAGTGATCTAGATACGCCGAGCAGGAGTGTCTCCAACCTGCTGAATAGGTGCACGCTATCTACCTACAATCTCTCTCCATCACGGAGCACTCAGTATGTCCTACAAAACATATCACGCAAATCGAAAACCACTCAAAACACACCGGGCCCGCCAAAACATGGATTAACACACCCGAGTGATATCTCATGAACGAGTGAGCATCTATGCTCAGGCCTCCGTACATCCTACCCAGAACCATAGTGCAAAAAAAAGTCTTACCGGTAGTCTATGAGTTTAAACATACTGCAGAAACCCCTACGACCGGCCTGGTGGAGCGTAGAATCATTGAGATGGACGTAGAAGGGGATGCGTCATAGTATATCACTCGCTGGATTGCCCGCGGTGTAGATGCGCATGAGACGTGGCATGGGACCGAACACGGTAGGTCCCGCCAGATAAACGCCATGAAACAAGAAGAAATGTTTCCGCATGTCTTCTGCGGCACATTTTACCCAGAGAAAGAACGCGGTGGAGCTTTCTCTCTTTAATCTTTTAGGAAAACACAAACCCGGTGGAGCATAACCCACAACTCAATCGTAGGTTGGAAAACGAAACACACTCAATGTTAGGATACGTACGCGGGCAGTGGCCTGCCCAGAGCTATCACGGGTATTCTTAATAGACGTCACTGGAAGAGGATAATGGTTGAAGATACATGTTTATTACACTCCTTGATGCGCACTGGTATATGTCACCATCTCGGCCTCACCGGCTTTGTCATAGTTTATCACTCGGACGTTTCAAAAAAGAAGCTGGGCTGTTTTCCCTATTATTCATTGTCATTTCTTTATGTTACATAACCCGTCGGGAAGAGGAACGTACGCATTAGCATAGAGAACACTTGTCGCGGGTATAACGCGTCGGTAAACGATTCAGCTCTTCTTCGTAACGCTACAAGGCACGAACCGGCCATGTGCAAGAAAGAGGAAGAAACAAAACGAGAACACGGTCGCGATCAGGGGACTAGAATAAAATACTTTATTTTAGCATGAAGAAGCGCGCTCAACTGCATACATACTTGCAACTTGGTTTTCACCACAAAAGACAATCAAAATAGCATGATACTTTGAAACAAGACGGAGGGCGTTAGCATGCCCTAGACTTGGCCTTTCTACTCTACCCTTCAAGCGAATAATAAGAGGGAAACAAAGATCAAAGTGCATCAAAGAGCTAACATAATCACGATTGATCCTAGCCGCTGCTGGTCATGCTGACTACAAAGCGACAATGAAACAATCGTTATCTTTTGCGCCCTTGTCGAAAAAGACCATCGCCCAAAGTCTTAAACCCCCGAAATTAACCAGATCTCCGTAGAGGTCTAAAGAGTGGAGCCGAAAGAGACGTACTAAGGGAATCCAGAAGCTTCAAGAACATACGCGATGCTGGGAAAGTATGCTCGAATACTGTTCAACAAACTCGTTCCTTCTAGCTGGCTCCACCCCCGGTTAATACACTTAATTACTCATTGAACACACGGAGGACCGGCCACAACATCACACGATTTCCGGCCTCAAGACGGCCAAGTATACCGCCTGGGGGTATCACGTCGAACACTGACTAAGCTCACTGTAACCTACCTATCTCTGACCCTACTCTCGTGTGCATTAGAGACCTCCCACCATGTTCATCCAGAACCAGTAGACAAGATGATACTCCCAAATCATAAAATATCACTCGCGCATCATATCTTATCACTCGGACCTTTCACACTCTGCACAGAGCTGGAATACAGGAGTGAAGGAGATAGGTTGAGAAACAGATGTGGGGCATAAGATACACCATTGTAAAGACCAGTGGCAGCAGCAGGTGGCACGTACTGCTAAGGTTCGTACCGGGAGACGCAATCGGGTCGATACGTAGTGTTGGTTTCTTGTTGTGCACCCTGACTGTGGTTATCGAAATTCCCCCGCGCGATTAAAACGACACGAGAACCGAAAGAAGATTTATTATGGGCAGCTAGCTAGATGGCGACGTTTTCACACGCAATTACTCACAGTACGGGTCGCAGGTAGAGAAGTGGCCGCGTTACGGATCCACCATGCGGGAAAATGCTAATCTCCCGGCGAAGCTAGGGCAGTCATGGTTACATGAGTTAAAATTGAGTTCAGCATGGGAGTCTAATTAGGGCTATTGGGTCTACATTGGACTCTGGTGAGGGAAATATCACTCGGTCGTTTCACAGCAACACAGTCACATTTACACAAAACAATCAAGCATCAAAAGCACAGCAGGACAAAAACGAACACTCACACACACAAAAGACAACAACAACCCCTCCATTTTATAAACTATTGAAACTACCCCCCCCTTCAGCAGTCTTACACTCTGTGCCCATGCGACCCCCAATACCACGATTGGCCAGGCCCCTCCCCACCCAGCCATCCCCGCTGCAACTTTTAACGCTGGTTTTCTCAACTACGCCCGAGAACCGGGAGATCATCATGGCTCCCCGGGGGGAGGCAACCACACTGGTTGTAATAGGTGCCTCTACTACCCCCCCCAGGTGTACCAGACTCATTCTCTACTAGAGATTACACTGTTAGCTGGTTACAAACAGAAGACGAAGCAATTCGGAAATGACTTACTCCCGCCACCACCATATTCCGCTGGTAGGTTGACCAACCAACCAACCAGGCCCCATGAACCCTCCCCAACAATCTCACCCCATATAAAATAGGATTATGAGAGCAGGGGCAGGGACATGCCTCAAAGAGGTTGCTGCGGATATGTCAGTGCATGTGGGATAAAGTACATATAATGGAAGGGAGAAATACCGCGGGCCTGGTCAGTGGCTTCCTGGGGATGAACTGGCCCGGTACATCTTTACCAAAGGATGTACCGGGCCGAAGGGGTGCCGAAGCGTACCAACATATGGCCCCACGAGGATGATTTCCTAGGAGCCGAGAGCTCCGATCACTGGATCAAGTGTTAGAATGGGATTCAGAATGCTGAGAAATAGATAGATAAGAAAGGGGACATACAACCCGTGCCAACAGGGCGGAACTCCTAGATCAACCCTGGATCAGGCGTCGACAGCTAACGCCTGGGCCGCCGATAAGAGCATCAGAGTAACTGTTTCCGTTATTAGCAGCAGTCAGAAATATTAACAGAGATGGAACCAACATACGCTCTGAGCATACTGGCGGCGCCCACCATATCTGCCACTCTGGCAGAACAAGAGGCCAGAGGGATACACCCCCGGCTACAACAACAAGATGGCGGTTAGGACCTAGAGGTTCCTCCGGATGGGTGAGGAGAACGCGGAACACCCACACCCACATGTTGTTGTTGTTACTGTTGTTGGCGTTGGTGCCTTTAGGAGTGGGAGGTTCCTCCAGCCTAAGGGGCAGAAATAGGGACGGTGATGGTGAGGGAGATGAAAAGGGGTGCTGGGAGGATAAGATGGTGGCATCCCCGAATTTCTGGGTGGAATAGGTGTTGTGCGAGAGGATGGAGGGGATGGAATATGATTGTGGGCTTGTGGGGGATTATTTGTGGGCTCTTAGGGTATTCTTTGAGGGCTTGTGACTGTCCTGCATTGATGACTGTCCGGGATTACGAAAGACGGGAGACTGCAGTGGGATATGCCAGTGTGAGTAAGCATTGTGGATTTGCGTCGTCATATATTTCCGGACTACATAATGTGTAGGGGGGGGGGGGGGCCCGGTGGTGGTTATATATTGGCAATCTGGAGTATCACTCCTTGAACATCCGTATCCTTTAAATATTGATGGTAGATACATGCAGGACATTTATAAGAGAGATTATATGGCGGTTCAGATAACTCTCCTTCTATATAATTCAACCCCGTTGTTTTTATCCTCCGGCTCTCTCCCCGCTCGATCTTGATACCCCTTCAGTGACTACAGTGGTTATCACCTTATTTCCGCACTAGCAGAGCTAGAGAGCAGACACCGCGTTACACAACCATAACCTGATGTGAAGAGCACTCGTACGCTCGAAGGTATACTTTCCCCACCGCCGAAATCCCAATACTTTAGCCCATACACATCCCTGTCACCAAACTGCACAATAAGAACTAAAGTCGGCCACCCAGGACGCGCCAAGAACACCGAGTGATATTACATGTCCTCGAATTTCCAAGGTTTCAATGCTGAGTACTGGTTTCAAAACATGTGTTATTTAGAGATAAGTACATCTTTAGCGAGAAGTACATCTGATCGGCTGAGAAAAAACAGCCCTTCGCACTACATGTACGTCGGAGCGGCACAACTGCTCGACTCGGACCTTGTAGCACTCAACCCTAACCCTAGTCGCACCTTCAACACCGACTCTTGAAATAAGGCGCTCGGCACGTTTTCATAGTATTGGAAGATTATCGTTATTTCATTATAGTATTTGTCATCGGCGTATGACTCACTCATGACTCACTTTCCTATTAGTCATTCCATTACTCATACGTCTATGACTCATTGTATTTCTTTCGTACTACCTCTCTTTAGTATAAAATACGGGGCATTCCCCCTTAGCTAGAAACAACAACACGATCAATTACTTTACTTCTCCTACATACTTTCTCTACCGACCTTTTTTTTTTTTTGTTTAATTCATTGATTGCATGCAAGCCGTAGCTTATGGCAATATCGCACTTCCCCTGACTGCCCGTTCTATAACTTCCGCCGCCATCTCTAACATAGGAAAGCGACGAAAGGAAATTAGACTAAGATAGCTAAATAACGCACTCAGTGGAGTGTGACTATACCTGTAGAAGTTATTTTTCTTCATGATAAGGTATCTCTTCTCATATTATTTGAATGCGCCCTTTCAGATATCCATAGTTACATGTATGCATGGGGATGGGGGTGAAAGCAGCACTACTGTTGCTGGTATACCGACTACCACCATCATCGCAATCACTGATATATACCGGTTAAAGTACAGCGCCTGGATGACAATTCTCAACCACACGTACACAGACTCATATAACCCTACCAATACGAGTACGAGTCAACGCCTCATCTGTTCCGGTTGGTGATTCCCTAGACCCCGTAAGCCGTGTATATCTACGCGTAGTCTTCGGACAGTATATGTAGCCATCAAGGGTAAAAACTTCACCAGCCTAGGTGTCGTGTGTTTCTACCAACCGCAGGCATAATGAGGGAGACGCTCAACCCATATCGCAGAATTATAATTCTCCCCTTCTTGTATTCAGCAATAGTACTGTACCCTGACTAGAATTACGCTGTTCATTGGACATATATATTCAGCTAGCTACATGTAGCTAGCTGCATACGTATATACATATACAACCTCCGTGGTGTGTATAATTCGAACGACACCCAAAGTTTCATACCATATCAAATTAACTGCAGATGGATTATACTATCAATATCTGAGGCAACTAAATGCATGTAGCTATGGTGGGAGAGGCCTTGGGGGGCAACCTTGTTATCCCTGTTCACACCAGTTCGTATTGTAGCCCTTATAGCCATAAAGTCGAGTTAAAGGTAAGGCTCCTCAATTTTGCTTCCTGGTGTCAATGAAGGAATGAGTGAAGTAGTGTGTACAGGGTTGAAGGGGTTCCCCCCTCTGCTCCCTCTTACACCATACGAGATAGCTTGTTGTAACATGTTACACAACGTCACTCAATCTATGCCAAGACTGCCCCACGCATTCTGTGGGGAAGCTTGGCAGGGACGGACCTGGCGTATGAAAGCTACGTAGACTTTGACGTCATCCAGCTTTGAGTAGTAGTATGTAGGTGTGCACGCCAAGACACATGTGCGCCATGTAGGTAGAGATGATGATGTTCCATTCGTCTCTCTCTCTCTCTCTCTCTCTCTCTCTCTCCCCGCAGCAAGCGTTACCCCACAGGGTTAGGAACTACAACATCTCATCTCCGCCGGTCGTTTAGATATACCCTCCTGCCCCTCTATGAACCTCTTGCTCACCTAGGCATCACCTCTTTTTTTTGCGCATAGGATACATGCATCTCCGCGAGCTCACAATTGCTTTACCACGTGGCCATCTAGATCTCCTATATCGTTATCCAGCCCCTTGGAGAAAGCACAAGGGAAACCGGGATAGGGTGACGGAAAGTGGATCTCGTATAATGTGGCAGAGGACGGATAGACCCTTCCGCACGCTGAAAATCTAATGCAAACTTTCAAGAGTAGACGCCATGGTACAGCAAGAGACGTTCCCCGGGAGATCCACATGAAGCATTTTTACTAAGTGAAAATAGAAGAGCTATGAACTAAAGACACCAGCTCCACCCACGCCAGACGCTACCATACGCCCAGCGGTATAATAAAAACATAGCCCCTAGTAGATCAAGAATCGATTCTCCATCAACTTTTACCATCATACATTCCCGGCAGGGGCCACATCCGGCAGAATACTATATGTAATTATTTCTTCGTGATTACATTTTTCCGGCAAGGTCAACGGGGTATCTCCCACCAAGGGTCCCGAGGTACTATTCACGCCAGCATCAAGTAATGTACGAACAATCCCCATGTTGTTCCAACAGACCGCATGATGTAATGTGCTCTCACCATCACTATCCTTTGCCTCAATATCGGCCCCCTCCTCAAGAGAGGCACTCGAGTCATCCAAAGACTCGTATATCGACGGGATCGTTCTTGGGGTGACCCCAAACGTGTCTACCATGTTTCCAGCGGTGTTCGTTGCGCTCACGTTGGCGTCAGTTTCACCTAGCAAAGACCGGGTGATCTCCACCTCCTGGTAGCTGATACCCTCACGCAACGCAGTTTCTTCCTTGTTCTTCTTCCCATCGAGGCTTTCTCGGGCATGTAACAAACGTTTGAGGATATTTACTGAAACTTTGTGTGCTAGGTGTAAAGGAGTTTCTTTGTTGGAGGTTTCTGCGTCGATATTAGCACCTTTAGCTAGTAATAGACCGGTGGTTATAATTTGATCGTGTTTGACTGCCAGATGCAATGGCGTATGCTCGTCCGCGGCCTTGGCTTCGATATTGGCGCCTTCATCTAGTAATAGACGGGCAACCTCAGAAATACCCTGTTTGACTGCCAGATGCAATGGTGTCTCATCGTTTGTGCTTGTTGCATGGATATCAGCACCTTCATCTAACAACAGACGGGCAATCTCAAGAAGACCGTGTTTGGCTGCCAGATGCAACGGTGTGTACCCGTTCGCGGCCTTTGCGTCGATATTGGCACCTTCATCTAGCAATAGACCGACAACCTCAAGAAGACCGTGCTTGACTACCAGATGCAATGGTGTATACTCGTCCGCGGCCTTTGCGTCGATATTAGCACCTCTATCTAGCAATAGACTGACAACCTCAAGGAAACCGTCTCGGGCCGCTAAATGCAGTGGTGTGTGCCCGTCCGCGGCTTTTACGTCGATATTAGCACCGCTATCTAGCAATCGACCGATAGCCTTAAGATCAGCATATCTGGCTGCTAGATGTAAAGGCGTGTGCCCATAAGTGGCCTTCACGTCGGTATTGGCGCCTTTGTCTAGCAATAGACCGACAATCTCAAGATGACCGTGTCTGACCGCCAGATGCAGTGGTCTATCCTCATTCGCAGCCTTGACCTCGATATTGGTACCATTATCCAGTAATAGACCAACAACCTCAGGACAACCGTGTTTAACCGCCAGATGCAATGGCCTGTCCTCATTCGCGGCCTTTACCTCGATATTGGCACCTTTTTCTAGTAATAGACCGGCAACCTCAAGAAGGCCATGTCTGACCGCCAGATGCAATGGTGTATGATTGCGCGCGGTCTTTGCGTCGACATTGGCACCTCTATCTAGCAATAAACCGACAACCTCAAGAAAACCATCTCTGGCCGCTAGGTGCAATGGTGTGAGCCCGTCCGCGGCCTTTCCGTCGGCATTGGCACCTCTATCTAGCAATAGAGCAACAACATCAAGATCAGCGTGTCTGGCTGCTAGATGCAATGGTGTATGATACTCTGGGTGTGTTATCGCTTCCATATCTGCCCCTGCATCTAGAAGCAGCTGGATGAGGCCAAAGGATCCTCCCTTCACCGCTCGGTGCAATGCGCTATATCCATTGTTACTTCTGGAATTCACATCCGTCCCTTTCTCTAATAACCTCTGAACAATCTCCACATGCCCATATTCTGCAGCTAAATCTAGCGCGGTGTATCCATCTTGGGTCCTCCTATCTTTCGGTGTTGAGGGATCTAATAGCAATAGAAATACAATTGTTGTCAATCCTTTATAAACGGCTTTTAAAAGTAAGGATCCGTCCAAGCTTTTGGGACTCGGCACTAGCCAGATCTTTTTCTCCTCTGCCGTAAGTAATTCATATAGCCTGGAAGGGTCCGAATGGAAGTTTGTGGACCAATTGCAGCCATGGACGATTTGCGTAGGTAAGGTTAAGTGTATCTGTGAAATGGGCGGTGCTTCCGCAAGACTGATACCCGATGTTGTGCTGATGGAGACCGGCAAAGAGAAAACGGAATACCTAGAGTCTCCGGCATCCAAAGACCAGCTTCCTCCACGGCGTTTGGATGTCGCGACGGATATAATCGACTCACTACTACTCCTATTCCGATACGGCCGACTGGAGAATAACGTAGAGTGTAGGGATGGTAAAATATATTGAGAACGTTGCATAAAAGACCCTGTCGTTGTCCTGATAGAACTCGCATAATTGTCCGAAGAGGTTTCTGCCGTATCTTGAGATGTTAAAGATCTCAAATCCGAGTCTGGCTCTCTTGATTTTGGCAACGCAACAACACCCTGAGCCACCAGGGTATGAAGATCCTGCATAAGATCCTTTACATCGTTGATGGATTCGCTGGGATAGACCATAGGGGTTAGCCGAATCAAAAAGTACTCCAAAGAAAAGAGGACTAGACCAAATGGAGGCATACGAAAGCAATACGGAGAGAAGTATCCCCAAAGTGCTCTTATGATTCTGAATCCGCAAGATCATTGCAGACATTGTTTGCTCCACCAAACTCCATCTCATGCGATGCCAAACGCCCAGCTTCTTTCCCTCCAAATTGAATTCGTCAAGCTTCATTCGTTTCAACTCCTTCTCTAGCTCATCGAATGTACACACACAATGAACGAGGGTGAAAGAAATTGGCCCGGTGTCGATTAATGAAGCCTTCTCGTTGTCAAGGGGTTCTGGACTAAACACAATATGTTGTAACTTTTGAAGAACTATACGAAATTCACCGACTTCTTGATAAATACTGTGAGCAGCCGATGGAGCGTTGGTGCAGCTGGAGATGAAGCGATTCAAGACAGCACTAATCTGCGCACCCGCCACGACCAGTCCAACTATAGCCGTCCCTAGTTCCATAGCAGTGATGAGGAGATATATAGTTGAGGGATAAGCAGTTCTGAACACACTGGTACTGTATTCTAGAGTCTGAGAGTTTTCTACATGTTTCTGGCTAGTTATAAGGCGGGGAAGGATCCAAGTTGGCAAGGCTGAATGATTAGGTAATTGCATGATACCGACTTTCCCAGGTGACACTGGATCTGCGCTGCGCTTAGCACATAGATGGCTTCACGGGGGTGTCAACACGGAGGTATGGCCAATCTCAAATATACGCCGGAGTGATGTATGATATGCAGGAAGTTGATCGACTACCTCTTTTGGTTTCCCTACAAAATCTTGACCCCCGTGTTGACCGCTCCCCCGCGCAGTGGTCTACATGTATCTATACATGCACACTAGTCGAGTTATTGCTCGTACTCCTATTCACAACAGGCTTTGAGCTTCGCAGCGCGCTCTTGATCTGAAGGGTCCTTTTAGCGGGATATTAGCAGTGCAGATCCAGACTAAGTTGTCGATATTTCAAGCTCAGCACGATGGTTATGTTTAGTTGGCTCGAGAAAAGAGGAGGAAGTAAGACGATGATTTTGTTTGTATTGATCTATCGAATCTTAAGATGATCAAGTCCTCTGTTTAAAGTAGAAAGGAATTGTACAACAACCACACGTGTTCTGCTGTCTAAAATGACAGTCACAAAAGAAACTCATACTGATGTTCCGGGCCACTGGCGGATACCTCGAATTCGTGAATGTGTTCCGGGCCATTCGCGGATATGACAGATTCGTGAATGGACTTGACAAATCCGCGAACAGACTTGAGGTATTCGTGAATGGACTCCTAGGCTCATATATCTGTGACAGGACCAGTCTATTCACGAACAGCCTGGGGAAACTGTTGTTTTAATATCAACACCTGATAACTAATAATGATTTATATTAACCCCGATGACTACTACAATCACCAGAGACCTCTAAAAAAGACTAGCGACCCTAAATATCGAATCTGGAATAATAATTAGCACCTTCAAGATCTTTAGCGAGCTTTAGTGACACCCTGTGGCCTCTATCAGCCTCAGGCACCTTTGCAAGCTCTTATTTGGGCCCTATGACCTCTAGTAAAGCCATATGGCCTCTGATAGAGCGCAGGCAATTTGGATGTTGGTTCCAAGAGTCAATTTCACTATGTAACGGGGGTCTATGGACGTAGAGACTATAGTGCCAAGGAATACAACCGAGGCGAGAACGTGGCAATAAGTATTCGAGACTATGGACTATGGAGTGGCTCTTCCTAGTATGACTAACTAGTTGAACCCTATGACAAGGCGTAGAACAAAGTAGTATTCGTGTAGTACATACAAGATAGATAGATAGATAGTTTTATATTGCTTTGAAGTACAGAACTTATCGCACGCCAGATCCACCGCCATAAACATAGGAAAACAAAGGAAACAGAGAAAAAGAAGACGGAAAGCAACGAAAATCATAGGCCGGTACAGAAAAGAAAAGAGAGAAAACAAAGAAATCTTTCGTCATTCCTCTGGGTCCTCCTCGTCCATTTCGTACCAGTAGAGTAGGTTGGTTTTTGATGCGAAATGTAGAATCAGGTCTACGTTGAGGTTGGTGAATAACCAATTTTCCCAGGTGTGCGGTCCTGGGATTTTGTCCATGAGTGGTCTTCGTATTTGTGCCCATCGCGGGCAGTCGATCATAGTATGTTTGGAGGATTGTTCCGAGCCACATTGCCGGGGTTCGGGTTCCGTGAATGCTGCATGTCTGTCTATTCTGGTGACTTGGCATCGTATGCGGTGTATGAGTTTCGCTTTGGATCGGGGGAGTTTTGCTCGTTTGGGGTGAATCTTAAGGGTTCCTGGCTCATAGTAATTGGTGCATGGGATGGAGTTCCATTCTTCCAGCATGCGTTTGGTGAGAGTGTGGTTTTGGATCCATCGCTCTCTGCGGTTGCCTGGTTCTTGGAAGGGAAGCATGAGTGATGCGATCCGGTGTAGGCCTGTGCCTTTTATGTCTTTTATTCTGGTGGGGAGGAGCTGTATAAGTCCTTCGTTGAGTGGGTGGTCGGCAGGGTGGCAAAGGATGCGAGTCCCGTATTTTCGTGATTTGTGGTTGAGGAGGTGTTCGAGTGGGGGGAGTGCTGCTTCTTTCAGCAGTTTTTCGGTTTTTGTCCAGCGGGGTAGGCCTGTTACTATCCTGGCAGCTTCATTATAGAGTGGGGATAGTGATCGGAGGATGTGGTCGGCTCCCGTCTACCATGCCTCTGATCCCCATAGGATAGTGGGGAGGAAGCCTTGGACGATGAGGTGGTGGATGGATTTTACTGTTGTTCCGGGGAGGTATGCGATGTTTCTGATTCGGCTTAGGGCTTTCAGGCCTTTGGCGATGGTTTCTTCGATGTGGGGTCGGAAGGAGAGGTTTGAGTCCAACCAGACTCCAACGTATTTGAGTCTATTTTTAGGTTGGATTTCTTCTTTTGCGATTGTTACCGAGTTTCTGGGAGTTGGGGTGTTCGACGATGTGGGTTTGAAGAAGACTAGGTCGGATTTCTGGGGTTCGTATTTGATATTGAGGGGTGCTGCTTTCTTGACTCTTTCCGCCATTCTTTCGTTGAGTCTTTTAGAGATGTAGAGGGGGGACTTTGCGAGTTGTACGAGTGCATCATCGTCGATATAGGTGGTATTGGTTTCTTTGGCGGAGTTGGTGGGATCTGTTATCATTCCGGCGTATATCATAAATAATACTGGGGATAGGGGAGAGCCTTGGGGTAGTCCTGAGGCATATGGTTGTGGTGGTTCCAGTTCGTGGTTAAATTGGAATTGGAGTGTTCGGTTGGTGTTGAATTTCTTGCACCAGTTGGTTAGGTATGTTGGGAATTTTTGTTGGGTCATGATTTCTGGGAGTAGGAGGTGGTTGACGCAGTTGAAGGCTCCCTGTATATCGTTTGTGAGAAGGGCTGGTCTGTCTGGGGTGGTTCCTGTGGTTCGTTTGATTAGGAGGTTTTGTTGTATGGGCGTAAGAGTCCGTAGTAGGGCGTCAATCGCTGAAATTGTTGGTCTTCCTCCAAACTGGTCTTTGCTGAGGGTCTCTAGGATGGATCCGGCGGTGCATAGTCTTGTTGCCACTATCTTTTCTAGTACTTTGCTGAAGCATTGTAATAGGGAGATGGGTCGGTAGGCTTTAGCTGACGAATAGTCGGATTTTCCTGGTTTCGGGATTGGTATGCATTTTGCCGCTTTCCATCGATCCGGTTGGACTCCATGTCGGAGCATGGCCGAGAACATGTCTTGGAAGAGTTGGGTATTTGCCTTGATTGTTGCCTGTATGAATGGGTATGGGATGTTATCTGGTCCGGTGGCTGAGTGTGTTGGGCATGATCTGATTGCGGATGTAATTTCTTCTGTTGTTACTTCCTGGAAATCGTCACTAAGGTCAAAAAAGGGGGGTCTGATTTGGAGTGGAGGGTTGTCGGGGGACGTCCAATTTGTGGGGAAGAGTTGGGCTCTTAGAGCTTGGCACTTCCCCGCAAACGTTTCTTCACCTTGTATAGTTGGGATTGTGGTGTCCCTTCTTTTCCCCGTGTTGATTAGTTTCCAAATGGCGCTTCCCTTGGCTTCCATGAGTTCTTTTTCCCTTTGTTCTGCCTTGGTTTTTCGGATTGCTGCCGTCCATATCCTGCTGGTCTTTCTGAAAGATTCCCTGTCTTCGTCCTTTTGGGTGTTTCTGGCTTTCCTTTCTAGTATGTGGAGGGTTGATTTAATTTCCTTCAGCTCTGGGGTCCACCATTTCTTAGATTTAAGGTGTCCTTGGCTCCATGGGGTTACTTGGTCTATCAGGTTGTCTATATGTTCGAGTATAAAGTCGACCGATTGCTTTGTGTGGTTCTGGCTTTCCCATGCTTCGGGGGGAAAGTGGAGGCCTGAGATATTTTCTTCCAATCTTTCCCAATTCGTTCGGTGCCATAGTCTCCTGGGGATGTGAGGGGGCTTCTCTACTCGTAATTGTAGGATGGTTTTCCTGTGGTCGGATCCTGCTCCATGTCGGTCGATGTTCCAGCGGACGTCATTGTCCAGACTTGGTCCTTTGACTAGTGTTAGATCGATGATGGTCGGTTTGTTATTATTTTTGGGGAAGTGTGTGAATTCGCCTGGTTCGTTGAGTAGGGATAGTTTTTGTCGATCAATCCATCTTTTTATTTTCTTGGATCCGGGTTTGTCTGTTCTGATTGTGTTGGTGTAATCATGGGATCTATGTCCATACCATAGTTGGTGGTGGCTGTTGAAGTCTCCCATGACGAGGCAGTTTTGGATGGTGGTTATTTGTCGGGAGACTTCTGCGAAGAGTCCACTCCGCCCTGGTGAGTATATGTTGAGGATTTGTGTTTTTTGGTTTTGGATTTCCACCGTGACGGTGACGATGAAGTTGTTATGGGTGTAATGGTGTTTTGGTTTTAGGTTGGCGTGTTTTCTGATGTATGTAACGGCCTTAGTGCCTTTGTTGCTGACTGTGAATAGATAAAAGAGAGGGGATTCTGGTGGGTGGCCGTCTTTATTGTTCCATGGTTCTTGTAACAAAAGAAAAAGTATGTTGTGGTCCTGTTCTGCTTCCTCCACTACTGACTTTGTTGTGAGCTCGTTTTTCGCGCAGTACAGTTGCTGTGCGATAGCCGTTGTCTTTTTGATGTGACTCATTGGGTATTATCCATGGCTGCGTCTTCTTGGGAGGGGTTTTGGGCCGGGATGACGATAGGTATTGGTAGCGGGCTTGGATTTATATCTGGTCCGAGTTTGTTTGTGATGCGGACTTTGGTGCGTTCCGGGCAGTTGGCGTCTGTTGCTTTGTGGGGGGCCTTGCAGTGATAGCACCGGATGGGTGTATTGATACATCTAGTGCCTCCTGAGCATTCTGAGCATGGGTGTTCTTTTGTCTGGTGGTCCTCTGCACAATGTCCGCATCTTCCGGTTTGGTGGGAGCATCTTTCGTGTCGGTGGCCGTATTCTAAGCATTTGGAGC